ATAGGTGTATGTCAGTAAAAAACAAAGAGGACAAAAGAGGGAAATGTTTTTGTTTTAGACTGTTCTGTGTTAACCAAATAAATTATTTATATACAAATAAAATAGGAAAGTGCTGAAAGCCAACATTTACTTCTTTATTAAATAAATAAATAATACAAGAAGTCTCCTTTACAATAATAATAATAATACATCAAGTAATTAGTCAATAATTACTGAAGTTTAACCATTTCTTTCTTCACAATAATAATAATAAATTAGAAAAAAATTAATAAAAACAGGAAAATGGTAATTAAGGACAATATTTACTAAAGAAGAACCATTTCATTCTGTTAAATAAATTAAATAAATAAATAAAATAGAGATGTGCTGAAAATTTATATTTACTGAAGTAGGCTAGAAGTATTTAATTCTTCGCAAAATAATACAAATTAATAACATATAAAAAAAAATATGTAAGATGCCTCATGTTAATGCACTTTTATTTTCTTCTTTTTTACATTTTTATTCATTTGATCTTTTTCATGCGGTTATGTTATGCATGAGAATGTAATTTGTATCTTGCTCGGTATTTCATTATAGGTTGATTATTAAATGTTGTATTTTTGATTACATGTTTAGATGTTTGTAATATTGTCTGTACAAAGGCACTTATATAATGCACATAATGTAAACATCAAATATACATGTGTATATATATTTTCCCAGCAGTTAAAGCACGATTCAACAGAAAAACAGTCAACACATACATTTATTAAATATTATAATACAGATTATATCATATGCAGCACACACAATATACTATGTAGTTTCACAGAGGACAATAAAAATATATAGGTTTCCAATACAGCTTCAACAAATCTTTAGTGTCTGTCGTTGTCAGTAGTGAGGCTGTGAGCTGAATACATCGATCAGAAGAGGTTTTTACAATTCACACGTCCAACATTTGTAGATATTGTTATATTATGAGCTACATACAGCGCCGTTCTGTGTAAGCTAATGTTACAGGGCATAAACAGCGATACATACAGAGAGATGATATGATGGGGAGTTAGTGTCGATAACACTGGCACGTCAACCGATCGCTCTCGATTACAGCAGGTTACTACAATCACATCAGATCCAACAAGTGCTAGAAGTTCGGGACACCTTACAAAAGTTTGGCTGCTGGTAGAAGAGCACATCTGTACACACGCACACATGTCTATATGGCAGATATCAGATATACGTGAACATCAGCACACACATCCCTGAACAGAGAAACTTAAGGCAAAAAGATCAATACGAATGAAACTCTGTCTGGTGATCGATTGTTTTTACAGTAAAGCTTCACTGAGTGAGGTACGTCATTGTGTAGCAGCTCAACAGATTATCTGAGTGATGAAAACATGCGGCTCACATTTCACCCCAAAATCAAAAGGAAGAAATAAATCCTTTTTGTTTGTTTTTTTGCATAAAGGAAATTCAGCCTATTTTTAAGACCATTTCATGACATTCAAACCCTGTCAAATAAATAAATATCTCATTTTCATTCAATCTAATGTGACATTTACATAATACATTACAATAATGATATGCAAACAAACATGCAAAAATCTAAACGGTCCTAAAAATAGAATGCAAATATCATTTCTTATTTTTTTCCATTGTATTTAAAAGTGAAATATGAGGAAAAAGCAAATTCAGCCTATTTTTAAGACCATTTCTTGACAAGTAAGCACATTTTATCACCAAATAAATAAAATCTAATGTTTATTACTGTAATGTGGCAATACACACACACACGCACACACACACACACACATGTCATGGTAGTGTTCATTCTTTTTATCATTTAAATTAAATATTTATTACAATAATGATTTACAAAAATTTTGCAAACATGCAAAAATATTAATGGTTAACCCTCTACATTGCGAGTAAATCACTTGCATATGCGACTAAATCTTCACTCTGGGTGACTAAATGATGTCTAATATTAGCCAATGACTAATAAATTCTCAGATTTTCCTCGACAGTGTGTGAGTTGGAGGCTAAGTATAAGTTAAGCACAGATATATTTTTACTCGTCGAACACACTGACTGAGTGCTTCAGAGTTTCACTCTCCATCAACCGATCTGTGATATTTTCCAGTTCATCTGAATGGATGCGCAGCGCACCTGTATTTGACGCACCGTAAACTCTAGTGTGAAGGCACATGACTTGCCGTCGCTTTGTCTCACACACACACACACACACACACACAGAGCGAGAGTCTTACACACCATGCAGAATTGACGCGCTACATGTAAACGATATTCTTTGTTGTATTTTCCTGTCAAAATAACGGAGTTCCTTTTGGAATTCTTCAGCTTTTAAGAACTGCCGGGTTTTCCTTGATTTCAGCGTATCAATTCGAGCGAACACACACAACCTGATTAATATTCATGAATCCAGCAGCTCATTAATCCTTAGTGCATTTTATTTTGTTCTTATTAGTAGAATTCTAAGTATTATTAATTATTATAATTATTATCTTATCAGTATTATTGTTAGTTTTTCCCCATTTTTTTACATGCATATATGGTACATCAGTCTGGCAAGTAAACTAAAAAATGTACTAGCCAATGGCGTTTCAATTACCAAGGAGTCCGTAGAGGGTTGATGGTCCTAAAAATAGAATGCAAATTTAAAATGTTTTTTTTTCTTTGTATTTAGAGGTGAAATATGAGAGAAAAAAAAGAAAAATCTGCCTATTTTTAAGACCATTTCATTTCATTAAGCACAATTTACTGCCAAATAAATAAATTAAATTTTCATCACTGTAATGCAACAAAAAATTATATATATATACACACACACATACACATACCATGGTAGTATTTATTCTACATCCTTTAATTTATTAAAAAAATAAATAAATAAACGCATTACAATAATGATTAACTAAATTTTCACAAATATTCAAACATGTTAATGGTCCTAAAAATAGAATGCAATTATCATTTCTTATTTTTTCCTTTGTATTTAGAGGTGAAATATGAGGCGAGATTCTCCCAATCAGCTGAAAATGACAAAAAAAATCACTTTCTTCCCCGACGCAAACAGGTGCCTTCTCTTTTTCTGTGCAAACATCATGAAGTGACGTGTGAAGTATGCTAAACATCTGCAATAATAATTGTCTTAATTTTCACACGTTTAAAAAAATAAATAAATATACAGCATTATTTTTTAATACTTTGTGCTTTTAGAAAATCTGTCTTAGAAAGGGTGCACGCCATCCCTGCCATTCATAGATCATCTTTATATATTTCATAGCCGTTTGTTTACATCCACAACCTCGTATAAAACTATTCTGAGTATCCTACATTTTTTACTATAATATCTCTCTTCATCTCTTATATATTCGCAGTCATGTTTACTCTTACAGACCCCATGAAATCAAAATCAGTTTAGCTTTGAGTCCATAACTAAATAAATGTTATGCATTTTTGGCGATCAGATGAGCGATTTGTCCTGCCCCCAACTTCCTATTTCAATATGCATTCGCTATAAATTAATCTAAAATATAATAATATTAAGTCTGGGCAGATGAAAACAACACTAGTTTGGCATTTACTTGAGCTGAGGGTTTGTTTAATGACACTGAGCGTCTTCAGATTGCTAATGGAAGTCAATCACTTGTTCTCAATCAGGATCTGGACCTTGTTCACCAGCTCTCGGGCCATGAGCAGCAGCTTCGGGACATCGTGATGCTCAGCCATTTCTAGATCAGGACACAAAGGACAACATCACAGCGGCTCTGATTCTGCATGGCTGCTCAGTAGGGCTGGGCGATATGGCAAAATGTACCGATTTTTAACTAGTCAACTTGTAAATGTAACTACAACATGATTCAAGTAACTTTCTTTATTAACCCTCTAGTTAGAGAAAATTCTATTCCAAGTGCAGCACACATGAAGTTGTCAACATGATGTAAATGTTAAACAAATCACTTGTTAAATATCTTTGCAGAAAAGACGCATGAACTACAACTAATTGTACAAATTTGTCTTATACCTATTATATGTTCAGAAATAATACGAGGAAGATGCTTTAAAAAAAAATCTCAAAAGTCAAGGTAATTCAAATTCAAAATGACTGAAGGTAAAACACCAGCAGACTATTATTAACTATAAATGTTCTGTAAAAACAATGAACAGCAGCTTTCAGTCTGTCACTGTGATGCAAACATGAAATATCAGACATACAGTAGTACTTCTTTACAGTTTTTTAATTTGATTGCGCTGCTTTTCCATTGTTTTTCTGTGTAAACATGGATGTGTTTGACTGTTGCGCTCGCGTCTCTTGCATGAAACGACAGTCTAAAAACACACCGCTCAAGTTAGAAGTTGTTCACTCCCATCTTCTTGCATGTTTTCCTCTTCCACTGCCACGTCACATCTTTATTAATACAAAAGCACATTCTGTGTGATATGAGCGCGTCACACATGAGCGGTTAATCACGTGCGCCAACGTGCGGCTGGATCGTTCTTTTCTACTTTACTGCTATAATTGGTATATTGTGATTCCTTGATTTCTAAAAAATAAAATCGTGGCAAAACATTAAATTCGAATTAATCGATAAAATCTGAAAAATCGGCCAGCCCTACTGCTCAGTGATTGGTCAGTCAGCTCACCGTTGAAAAACTTGATTATGTCTGTGAAGTCCATGTTGTTCTCCAGGATGATGTCGCGGTACAGCTCCACCAGCGCCAGCGCGATAAACAGCACGAAGTGCTCCGAGGAGGCGAACCGTGCGGCCCAGATGGTCTCCCACACCGAGAACACGTCGTCGTACACCATTTCTGAAAGAAAGATGAACAACAGCACTCACTCACTCTGACTGCAGCAGCATTGTCAGGTGTTTCCAACTCAATCCGAGCATCTTCAAGAATCGGCTAAAAACACCTCTCTTCTATCTTTATTTGACGCTCTAACTCTAGAACTCTATTCTAATTCTATTCTTTAAAAAAAAATTGTCCCTTTTAGACTTGCACTCTATTCATTTACTAACTGCTTGTTATCTTTAAAAAAAAACTAACACTAGCTTCTCTATTCTTTTTAAATTCTATTTGTTTTTATTTTTATTTATTATACAATTAACGGAAAAAAAAAACCTTGCTACGTTGTGTTAAGCTAACTGAGACTTGTCATAGCACTTGCATATCATTGCTCTTTTGTTGATTTTGATTGCTTTGTCCTCATTTGTCAGTCAATATACTGTACATGAGTCAGCTGGTGCTACATTACTATAATATTAAAGGTTAAAATGAGTTGATTTGTATACAAACATTTAAATTACAATCAATTAAGTTTTATAATAAAGTTATAATATTAACTCTACAATTACATAATTATATTTCTACTCCAATTAGTTTTGTGAAATATAAACATTTAAATGGTGGCTTTATTTATTTCAACAAATTAAACATTGAAGAACAGTAAAAAATTATAATGAATATGTTATATAGTGCATCTATTTAGCAAAATGCTCCTCTCTAGAGTTAATTTTTCTAGCTGACTAACGAGTTTATGGTCACTGGATGTGTTTTCTGAGGTAATGAGACATTACGTGACATTGTTTACAAGCCGTTATTTTGACATCTTTGCGCGGTTGAAACACTGATTGAGTGATCACATACTCTTTCTTTTACCACACCTTTGAATGTTTATTCATGTTTATTTTGTCCTGTAATCAGTTCACGCGCACTACAGCGATCTGTCACTCCACATTAAACAGCGCCAAAATGGCATTTATTGTTTGAATATTGTAATAAAATGTACAGAATTCGAAATCTGAGGCTTTGTTTCATATCAAATATGAATATTGTAATAAAATGTACAGAATTCGAAATCTGAGGCTTTGTTTCATATCAAATATGAATATTGTAATAAAATGTACAGAATTCGAAATCTGAGGCTTTGTTTCATATCAAATATGAATATTGTAATAAAATGTACAGAATTCGAAATCTGAGGCTTTGTTTCATATCAAATATGAATATTGTAATAAAATGTACAGAATTCGAAATCTGAGGCTTTGTTTCATATCAAATATGAATATTGTAATAAAATGTACAGAATTCGAAATCTGAGGCTTTGTTTCATATCAAATATGAATATTGTAATAAAATGTACAGAATTCGAAATCTGAGGCTTTGTTTCATATCAAATATGAATATTGTAATAAAATGTACAGAATTCGAAATCTGAGGCTTTGTTTCATATCAAAAGTAACCAAGCACAATGCTTATTGAGATTTATTTTTTACATTTAGTCATTTAGCAGACGCTTTTATCCAAAGCGACTTACAAATGAGGACAATAAAAGCAATAAAACCAACAAAAGGGCAATAATATGCAAGTGCTATGACAAGTCTCAGTTAGCTCCGAGCATCTTCAAGAATCGGCTAAAAACACCTCTCTTCTATCTTTATTTGACGCTCTAACTCTAGAACTCTATTCTAATTCTATTCTTTAAAAAAAAATTGTCCCTTTTAGACTTGCACTCTATTCATTTACTAACTGCTTGTTATCTTTAAAAAAAAACTAACACTAGCTTCTCTATTCTTTTTAAATTCTATTTGTTTTTATTTTTATTTATTATACAATTAACGGAAAAAAAAAACCTTGCTACGTTGTGTTAAGCTAACTGAGACTTGTCATAGCACTTGCATATCATTGCTCTTTTGTTGATTTTGATTGCTTTGTCCTCATTTGTCAGTCAATATACTGTACATGAGTCAGCTGGTGCTACATTACTATAATATTAAAGGTTAAAATGAGTTGATTTGTATACAAACATTTAAATTACAATCAATTAAGTTTTATAATAAAGTTATAATATTAACTCTACAATTACATAATTATATTTCTACTCCAATTAGTTTTGTGAAATATAAACATTTAAATGGTGGCTTTATTTATTTCAACAAATTAAACATTGAAGAACAGTAAAAAATTATAATGAATATGTTATATAGTGCATCTATTTAGCAAAATGCTCCTCTCTAGAGTTAATTTTTCTAGCTGACTAACGAGTTTATGGTCACTGGATGTGTTTTCTGAGGTAATGAGACATTACGTGACATTGTTTACAAGCCGTTATTTTGACATCTTTGCGCGGTTGAAACACTGATTGAGTGATCACATACTCTTTCTTTTACCACACCTTTGAATGTTTATTCATGTTTATTTTGTCCTGTAATCAGTTCACGCGCACTACAGCGATCTGTCACTCCACATTAAACAGCGCCAAAATGGCATTTATTGTTTGAATATTGTAATAAAATGTACAGAATTCGAAATCTGAGGCTTTGTTTCATATCAAAAGTAACCAAGCACAATGCTTATTGAGATTTATTTTTTACATTTAGTCATTTAGCAGACGCTTTTATCCAAAGCGACTTACAAATGAGGACAATAAAAGCAATAAAAGCAGTCAAAACTAACAAAAGAGCAATGATATGCAAGTGCTATAACAAGTCTCAGTTAGCTTAACACAGTACACATAGCAAGGGCTTTTATTTTAAATTATATAATAAATAAAAAGAAAACAGACAGAATAGAAAAAGAATAGAGCATTTTTAGAGAATACGAGTTTTTTTTTTTTAAGAAAACAAGCAATTAGTAAATGAATAGAGTGCAAGTCTAAAAGGGGCATTTTTTTTTTTAAAGAATAGAATTAGAATAGAGAGTGCTAGAGTTAGAGGGTCAAATAAAGATGGAAGAGATGTGTTTTTAGCCGATTCTTTAGTTATTCAACAAAAGTCCAAAACGCAAAACAATGCAGGTGCATTGAATACTGAAATATAAATTGACTTTTAAAAAGAAAATGATACTCTAAATATGAAAGGAAAACCTCCAATAGGTGGCGGCAAATCATTTTCTTAATGAGTGAGTCATTGAGTCATTCATTTAAACGGCTGATCAATTCAGAAACAAAGCAACCGACTGTCATTATGAATGAAACATTGAGTCACTTGATTTGTTTAAAACCATGGATTCTTTAAGTAATGAATCACCGCTGTGTGCTTATTTGCTGTACTTATTTGTTTATGATTTAATATTTATTTAGTTGGCATGTAATATTTATTCGCATTTTTGTTTTGTTTTGCAGTATAAACAAGATGCAAAATGAGGTTTTTGCAGTGCGCTCGCCTCTCTTGAAGTCCAGGAGGAACCAGCGGTAGCAGAAGTAGAAGTGTGTGTAATCGCCGTTCTGCTGCATCAGCTCGAACAGCTCCGAGTCCAGAATCTGAAGAGGTGTGACCGAATCATGACATGAGACACACACACACACAGAGTCTAAAACATCAGCAGAATGTGTTTAATAATGTGTGTTTAATAAGTAAACCTGGATGAGGGAGCGCATGTTGGCGAAGTGTGTGTCCATGGCTCCTCCGTGAGGGAAGTTCTGGTTCATTCGTTTCATGAGCTCAGTGAAGCAGCTGAAGGCCATGGCCTCTGAGTTACAGTCAAAGATCAATCAGAAACAAATAATCACTTGGCAATATAAAAGAGACTTATTGCTTTAGTTTAAAATCACTGTGTTTAAAGTAGTGCTGTCAATCAATTAAAGGGGTCATATGATGCGATTTCAAGTTTTCCTTTCTCTTTGGAGTGTTATCGCTCACATGCTCTGCTAATCACACTTTTTCTGAAATTCATCGCGATTAATCACGATTAATCCCATCTAACATTAACGTTTTTTAATATACTTTTATATTGCAATAATTTCACATTCAAATGAATGCACAAACAACATAAATACAGTATATTTTTAATAATTGTTTAATGGCATCTTTTTTTATAACTGAAGGCGAGTGTCATTGATACCAATACTACTGATGTCTCTATGAAAGTTTTTTTTCCCCAATAATATTTAATCACTGACTATAGCCATTCAACATTGCAGTATAATCAAGAGCTAGCAATTGTAACATTTATTAGACTTTAAAAAAAATAACTTATAATTTAAGTGAACTTAAAACAATCTTCACATAAACCCATTATAATAAATGCCATATTTACCTGTGCCCTTCAGCAGAAATATACAGAAATTGAAACTGAAGTTATCAAACACTAAATTCTGAATTAAATATAGATGAATCCTTACAGCTATAAAAGTGATTGATTTCTTCTTCTTTTTTTGCTTTGATGAACAGACATCACAGCAGCTGGTTATTAGGTTGTTTTGGCTGCTATTACTTTAAGAGCTGCCTCTGCTGAACGTGACGCAGATCTGACACGCATCATATTTTCTCTCAACTCTCTTCACCTTTTTTGAACCACTTCAGGTCTTAAAGTCTCTACTAATGAACTGACGAGTTGAATCGGTGCTTAAGATGAGAGATCTTTTGGTAATATTCACAATAAATAATTGTCCCATCAAGTTATATATTTGTCCAATCATATTTCAGAGGCAAAAATAATTATACATTTTTATATTCAGACAGTGCACAGTAGGGGTTAATGGAGTAAATAAGGTAAAACTCAGAGTTAACGTACCATCATCCAGGATGACCAGCAGGGGCGCGAGTAAGTCACACATTCCCTGGACGTATCCAATGTCAAGGTGCTGCCAAACGTAACTTAACGCACAAAAAAACACTGTAAGACTCACTTACTCCACTTACTTTTAGATTTGGAAAAATTATACATTATATTCAACAAAAATGCATCAAAAGTGACAGTAAAAATATCTATAATGTTACAAAAAATTATATTTCAAATAAATGCTGTTGTTTTGAACTTTCTATTTATCTGTGAATCCTGAAAAATAAAATGTATCACAGTTTCCACAAACATATTCAGCAGCACAACTGTTTTCAACATTGATAATAATCAGAAATGTATCTTGAGCAGCAATTCAGCATATTAGAATGATTTCTGAAGATCATGTGACACTGAAGACTGGAGTAATGATGCTGAAAATTCAGCTTTGCATCACAGAAATAAGTTACATTTTATAATATATTCACATAGAAAATAGCTGTTTAAAATCATAATATTTCACAGTTTTTACTGTACATTTTGAACAAATAAATGCAGCCTTGATGAGCAAAAGAAACTTAAGAGACCATTACACACAGAATATAAACTAAAATATAAGATCAGCTTTATTTTACCTGCACATGATGTTGCGCAGTTTCTCCAGGTTGTCCGGGGTGAAATACCAGTAGTTTCTGTCACATCGATGGACGTCTTTGTCAATGCGGTGCAGATTAAGTGTGTAAAGGTCCACCAGCTCCTGCTGCAAAAGAAACGAGAAGACAAAATAAATCTTTGAAGATCACACACTTTCATAGGAACAGTACAACCAGAAATGAGCCGAATCCTTTGACTTTCTATCTTTAGTGGAACACAAAATAAGATGTTTAACACGTTTAAAGGAGTGCAAAAATAAATTAAATTTGGGTCTGTGCCTCACACAATGCTACTGTATGATTTCAGAAGACTTGAAATATAGTACACAAGTCCTATTAGCTATTTTTCATGATGCTTTTTTGGAGTTTGCGGTCTTGTGGTCACAAAACATAAAACATTTATTTATTATCCTCTATTTAACCAAGATAGGACCAAAGGAGAAACAGAATAATCAAAAATAGAACCAAATTTACAACAACAAAAAAAGACATGGTATGTTTTTGTGTTTATTTACCAGTATCAAAGAATAAAAAACAGTGGAAGTCATAAACTAAACTTAAATAATAACATTTATTAAATATTTATTTTATTTTAAGGTCCCATTGACCATGGCAATGCAAGTCATAAACTAAACTAAATACATGATTTGTTTTACCAGGAAGTTTTCATTTCCAATTTACAAACTAAACTAATAAATAATTTATTAAAAACATTTTTTTTTAAATAAATGTAAAATTTATTTAATGATTTATTTATTATTTATCCTGACTTTTAAAATAGAAGTCCTAAACTACACTATACACAAAAAAATATACTATACTATACACTAAACTAAACTACTACTACTAAAATAAAAAAATAAATACATTTATTTAATGATTTTATTATTTATCCATCCTTTTATCCTATTTATCCATCCGTCCTTATCCTTATCTTGACCTTTAAAATAGAAGTCCTAAACTACACTATACACAAAAATGAGACTACTCTATATACTATACACTAAACTAAACTACTACTACTACTTAATTAAAAAATAAATGAATAAATACATTTATTTAATGATTTATCTAACTTATTTACCCACCCTTTTATCCTATTTATCCATCCATCCTTATCCTTATCTTGTCCTTTAAAATAGAAGTCCTAAAACTACACTATACACAAAAAAATAAAATAAAATGATATGTTTTATAGAAGGCTCAATGTCATTTTTTTTGGTGAACGATCCCTTTAAAGGGGTCAACAGATGCAAAATTCACTTTTACATGTTGTTTGAACTGAAATATGTCTTGCAGTGTGTGTACACAACCACCCTATAATGATAAAAATCCACCCAGTGGTTTTTGTTTTTTTTTCATTCCGATAAATGATAACTCCTTTCTCAAATCAAGCCGTTCTCAGTTTCTTGGCTGTGTGATGTCACACAGACCCAGGCCCCGCCCACGATTGTTGATTGACACTAGTGCTTTACCTTAGACCCACCCTGAGTGAGCTGTGAACAGTCCGCCATTGTTTCGACGCTGGAGCAGATGTAGACAAGCATCTGAGCCGCTGAAGACGCGCAGTGGATTACTTTTTTTGAAGGGAATGAGTCCCCCGATCTACCTAAGTGTGTCTGTTCGCGCGAATCATTCGTGATCCTGCTTCACCTACAGAATGTTTTTTTTTAAGAATCTTTGCAAATCGCCTTTCTTAATAATGTGCAAGTTTCATGATGAATACGGCTAAAGTTTACCATCTCTCAGAGAACTGCACGTCACCCCACGAAGAGAGGGGCGGGGTCAGCAGAGCTCATTAGCATTTATAGGGACATGCACCGAAACGGGTCGCTGTGAACAGAGCTGTTTTTGACAAGGTAAAAAGGGTGTTTGTTTACACTATTCGTTAATTCGTTCATTCCCTAGTTTTAGTAGGCCTAAATCGTGGAATGAATTATTATATTTCATAATTACTTATTAAAATCATTATTGCTTAAAATTAATAAATAATAATAAATTAATTTAAAAAATAATAAAACCTGCTGACGTCGTAGAAACGAATTGTTAATTCAAATTATATTCGGAGCTCTGTAGTTATTAAATAATCTCAGTTAAACTGTAGACCTAAGCTAACACACAGCTGTATATAGGCCTAAATACAGAACTACAGAGTACAGAAGATATTAGCCTACACCACTTAGGCCTATTAAAATATTATTTAAAAAAAAACTGACCCGAACCAATAGGTAGTCCTACAGAATGTAGGCTAGATATAGGCAGCAGTAATTTATAATCTAATATAATGCACGCAAATTTGTTCTTTACAGAACGGAGCGGGATCTGAGCGGGAATTGGTTTATGGCGAGCGTGAGCGGAATATTAACGGAGCGCTTGCTTGGGCGGTTAGAGCGACTGAGTGGAGCGCACGTCCATAGAGCGGAAAATGTAGCGGAGCGTCACACCGCTTCGCTCACATGCTCTGCTAATCACACTTTTTCTGAAATTCATCGCGATTAATCACGATTAATCCCATCTAACATTAACGTTTTTTAATATACTTTTATATTGCAATAATTTCACATTCAAATGAATGCACAAACAACATAAATACAGTATATTTTTAATAATTGTTTAATGGCATCTTTTTTTATAACTGAAGGCGAGTGTCATTGATACCAATACTACTGATGTCTCTATGAAAGTTTTTTTTCCCCAATAATATTTAATCACTGACTATAGCCATTCAACATTGCAGTATAATCAAGAGCTAGCAATTGTAACATTTATTAGACTTTAAAAAAAATAACTTACAATTTAAGTGAACTTAAAACAATCTTCACATAAACCCATTATAATAAATGTCATATTTACCTGTGCCCTTCAGCAGAAATATAGGCTACAGAAAGTAAAATTTAAGTTATCAAACACTAAATTCTAAATTAATTGATGAATCCTTAAAGCTATAAAGCTATCTTTTTTCTTTTTTCTTTTTTTCCTTTGATTAACAGACATCACAGCAGCTGGTTATTAGGTTGTTTTGGCTGCTATTACTTTAAGAGCTGCCTCTGCTGAACGTGACGCAGATCTGACACGCATCATATTTTCTCTCAACTCTCTTCACCTTTTTTGAACCACTTCAGGTCTTAAAGTCTCTACTAATGAACTGACGAGTTGAATCGGTGCTTAAGATGAGAGATCTTTTGGTAATATTCACAATAAATAATTGTCCCATCAAGTTATATATTTGTCCAATCATATTTCAGAGGCAAAAATAATTATACATTTTTATATTCAGACAGTGCACAGTAGGGGTTAATGGAGCAAATAAGGTAAAACTCAGAGTTAACGTACCATCATCCAGGATGACCAGCAGGGGCGCGAGTAAGTCACACATTCCCTGGACGTATCCAATGTCAAGGTGCTGCCAAACGTAACTTAACGCACAAAAAAACACTGTAAGACTCACTTACTCCACTTACTTTTAGATTTGGAAAAATTATACATTATATTCAACAAAAATGCATCAAAAGTGACAGTAAAAATATCTATAATGTTACAAAAAATTATATTTCAAATAAATGCTGTTGTTTTGAACTTTCTATTTATCTGTGAATCCTGAAAAATAAAATGTATCACAGTTTCCACAAACATATTCAGCAGCACAACTGTTTTCAACATTGATAATAATCAGAAATGTATCTTGAGCAGCAATTCAGCATATTAGAATGATTTCTGAAGATCATGTGACACTGAAGACTGGAGTAATGATGCTGAAAATTCAGCTTTGCATCACAGAAATAAGTTACATTTTATAATATATTCACATAGAAAATAGCTGTTTAAAATCATAATATTTCACAGTTTTTACTGTACATTTTGAACAAATAAATGCAGCCTTGATGAGCAAAAGAAACTTAAGAGACCATTACACACAGAATATAAACTAAAATATAAGATCAGCTTTATTTTACCTGCACATGATGTTGCGCAGTTTCTCCAGGTTGTCCGGGGTGAAATACCAGTAGTTTCTGTCACATCGATGGACGTCTTTGTCAATGCGGTGCAGATTAAGTGTGTAAAGGTCCACCAGCTCCTGCTGCAAAAGAAACGAGAAGACAAAATAAATCTTTGAAGATCACACACTTTCATAGGAACAGTACAACCAGAAATGAGCCGAATCCTTTGACTTTCTATCTTTAGTGGAACACAAAATAAGATGTTTAACACGTTTAAAGGAGTGCAAAAATAAATTAAATTTGGGTCTGTGCCTCACACAATGCTACTGTATGATTTCAGAAGACTTGAAATATAGTACACAAGTCCTATTAGCTATTTTTCATGATGCTTTTTTGGAGTTTGCGGTCTTGTGGTCACAAAACATAAAACATTTATTTATTATCCTCTATTTAACCAAGATAGGACCAAAGGAGAAACAGAATAATCAAAAATAGAACCAAATTTACAACAACAAAAAAAGACATGGTATGTTTTTGTGTTTATTTACCAGTATCAAAGAATAAAAAACAGTGGAAGTCATAAACTAAACTTAAATAATAACATTTATTAAATATTTATTTTATTTTAAGGTCCCATTGACCATGGCAATGCAAGTCATAAACTAAACTAAATACATGATTTGTTTTACCAGGAAGTTTTCATTTCCAATTTACAAACTAAACTAATAAATAATTTATTAAAAACATTTTTTTTTAAATAAATGTAAAATTTATTTAATGATTTATTTATTATTTATCCTGACTTTTAAAATAGAAGTCCTAAACTACACTATACACAAAAAAATATACTATACTATACACTAAACTAAACTACTACTACTAAAATAAAAAAATAAATACATTTATTTAATGATTTTATTATTTATCCATCCTTTTATCCTATTTATCCATCCGTCCTTATCCTTATCTTGACCTTTAAAATAGAAGTCCTAAACTACACTATACACAAAAATGAGACTACTCTATATACTATACACTAAACTAAACTACTACTACTACTTAATTAAAAAATAAATGAATAAATACATTTATTTAATGATTTATCTAACTTATTTACCCACCCTTTTATCCTATTTATCCATCCATCCTTATCCTTATCTTGTCCTTTAAAATAGAAGTCCTAAAACTACACTATACACAAAAAAATAAAATAAAATGATATGTTTTATAGAAGGCTCAATGTCATTTTTTTTGGTGAACGATCCCTTTAAAGGGGTCAACAGATGCAAAATTCACTTTTACATGTTGTTTGAACTGAAATATGTCTTGCAGTGTGTGTACACAACCACCCTATAATGATAAAAATCCACCCAGTGGTTTTTGTTTTTTTTTCATTCCGATAAATGATAACTCCTTTCTCAAATCAAGCCGTTCTCAGTTTCTTGGCTGTGTGATGTCACACAGACCCAGGCCCCGCCCACGATTGTTGATTGACACTAGTGCTTTACCTTAGACCCACCCTGAGTGAGCTGTGAACAGTCCGCCATTGTTTCGACGCTGGAGCAGATGTAGACAAGCATCTGAGCCGCTGAAGACGCGCAGTGGATTACTTTTTTTGAAGGGAATGAGTCCCCCGATCTACCTAAGTGTGTCTGTTCGCGCGAATCATTCGTGATCCTGCTTCACCTACAGAATGTTTTTTTTTAAGAATCTTTGCAAATCGCCTTTCTTAATAATGTGCAAGTTTCATGATGAATACGGCTAAAGTTTACCATCTCTCAGAGAACTGCACGTCACCCCACGAAGAGAGGGGCGGGGTCAGCAGAGCTCATTAGCATTTATAGGGACATGCACCGAAACGGGTCGCTGTGAACAGAGCTGTTTTTGACAAGGTAAAAAGGGTGTTTGTTTACACTAACATTGAGAAATTTTAACCAAAGTATGTTATAGACTTTCCATTAAGACCCTAATGAATCATATCAACTTGTGGAAAATGGGCATCCGATGACCCCTTTAAACTGATTATGTTTTTGGTGATATACCGAGTAGGTGGTCCCAATAGACGACACTGGAGACGCGATGTCGTTCTTGTCTCCTGTGACGGCTAGAGAGTCTGGTTTGGGGAATGAGTTGTCCATCTCCGGTTCCTCCTCGGAGAGCGCCGAGTCTGTTCCCTCCGGGCTGGTGTTGATACTCGGCTCCATGCAGAGCTCCAGAGCAGGTGCCATGGGACGAGCCAAAGTCAGAGGCGTCCTGGACACGCTGCTCTCCAAGGACATATAAACCACCGACGAAGCAATCTCCTCCATTTCCAGCGCCGAGGGCGAGTCGTCGGACATGTCCGGAGATTGTTTCGATAGGGAGGTGATGGGGCCGCAGCTCTCCGACTCTGATTCGGTGATCTGTTTGATTATGGATCGACCGGCGTCCCAGCCGATTGTTTGCGGCACACTGATGGCTTCATTCGGGGTTCGTATCACATTCTGTGCTTCAGATGAACATTCAGTTTTGTTTTCATCCGTTTGAGAGATTTTCCTAACGTCCAGCGACGGCTGTGGATCAGATTTGGCGTCTTGGCCTTCATCCATTTTCAAATACGCTTCTGGGTCTGCTTTTGATTTTGGGTTTTCTTCTCCAGACGGAGAAGACGCATGTCCTGGATCTTTAATCTCAACCTCTTTTGACTCTGAGGATTTGGTTGTTTCTTCAACAGGATCCTGTTGTGATTCATTCATGTCATTTTGTTCAGATTTTCCAGCACTGTTTTGCATTTTAGTTTCTCTTTCAGACAAATCAGCTGCGTTTTTTGAGTTTGCATCATCCTCTGAATGTGCCACCTCATGCATTTCTGTCTTAGATGTGTGTTTTGCATTCAGAGTCTGGAGTTTGTCTTCTGCATTCAAAGTCTGGGGTTTATCTTCTGTATTCAAAGTCTGGGGTTTGCCGTCTTCCGAAGTCAAAGTCTGGGGTTTGTCGTCTTCCGCAGTCAAAGTTTGGGGTTTGTCGTCTTCCGCAGTCAAAGTCTGGGGTTTGTCGTCTTCAGCAGTCA